AGGGCTTTTGGGGTGTCCACCCCCTTTCTTAAAGGCATAGCCCCACAAGAATGTCTCCTGTAAATGCTTTTTTCAATTGAAAAACATTTTTAAAAGGCATGAGCTCCTTTTAAGCAGAGTGGGGTACTGTAGTTGACTAATTCCTACATTGAGCAGGGGGGTTGGAGTAGGTGACCCCTAGGATCCCTTCTAACTCTGTGTCAAGAAACTGGTCTCTTTTAAGAAAGTTTTTCCTGCCTAAGTGTTCGCTTTCTTGACTATAGAAGTCATCACCCCCACCTGCCAGCTTGTTATCAGAATTGTTGCTTAGGCTGGCAGAAGTGATTAACTTGCAGCAGCTGAGAACTGTAATCGAAAGTTGCTGACAGCTTACAGTTAAGAGATCTATCCTGGTAACAGCTTTCTATTGGCTAAATTACTTTCACCATTCTTAAAAAAAAGGAATTGTTTATTCAAGACTTGCAAAAATTATCTAGTTTGAGGACAATCTTTTTTTCACATTACAACAGCACATTAAGGCAGCACATTAGTATATAGTCCCACGATGATGGAGCCCAGTTGGTACTCGTTTCCCTCAGCTTCGTTAGGTTGCAATCTGTCGGGTGCTGCATAAAAAGTCACATCTTTTTACAAACATGGATTTTAACATGGTTTTCTAAATTTGAAGAGAGAGACCCGGATATATTCTAAACTTACCCCTGAAGCTCATTAAACTATCTCTCCCATTGGTTCTGGTATATTCCAACTGGCTTCTAACTGCTTCTCCCCCTCCACTAACTTGAGAAAGACTGACTTGACTGGTTGAGAGAGAGAGAGAGAGAGAGAGAGAGCGCAACAGCAGAAGTGGAGCTGGGAGGATTCCTCAATGCCATGTGCCCATCTCTGACACTGTTTTTCCTGCAGTATGAATGGTTAAATAGCAGGGGGAAGTTTTAAAAGGACCTCTTAAGCCTGCAACTGCAAAGCCTTGCAAGTGGGAGAGAAGGACTGTTCTCACTTCAATCTCCATAGCTGCAGGCTCCACTGTCCTTTAAAAACATTATCTCTGGCTTGTAACTGCTTCTCCCCCCACCAGCTTGGGCACTGCTTCTCTCTTCTGACTGACTAGAAGCCAGAGGGAAGTTATAAAAGGACAGCTGAGGTGTCATTAATGGATAGGTGGGCACAGTGACTGGGAGGTAGGTGGCAAGTGGGGAGGAGGCAGGATTTCCTCCAACCAGTGTCAGTTTGTACACACCCTCTTTAAAAACATTCCTTAGCAACTCTGACAGACAAATGAATTGCCAAAGACAGCTATGGTGCTGTGAGTGACAGGCTGAAGAAGACCGGAGCCCTGCAATCACACAATTCTCCATTGCAAGGCGAGAGACTGTGATATTAACCCATACAGAAACACACAAAACCAACAAGGAAACAAAATAAAAGGATTAATGCTTTGCATACATTCTGTGTACTGTACTGAGTGGGTCTCATCACAAGGAGTATAAACAGTTAGTAACTACAAATGCTACACTGCAGTTTCAAAAAATGCAATTACGATTTAAAACAAACTACAATAGTTACACAACATTTTGTTGCAGGTCTCCACTTGTTTTGTTATAATAATGGGACAAGATGTCAAACTTTAATTGCTCTATCACTTATTTTTGTGTGTCAAGTGCCATCAACTCGCAGCCAAATTGTGGCAGCCCTGTAGGATTTTCAAGACAAGAGATGTTCAGAGGTGGTTTGCGATTGCCTGCTTCTGTGTATCGACCCTGGACTTCCTTGGTGGTCTCCCATCCAAATACTAACCAGGGCTGACCCTGCTTAGCTTCTGAGATCTGACAAGATTAAGCTAGCCTGCGTCATTCAAGTCATGGGGCTGTCTGTGATTGATTTGTTTTACAATGTAAACCATATCTGTAGTTAATTGGCTGCCAGTGCAGTTCATCCTTTCTAAATCATGTAAAGGGTTGGATCATATGCACTGCCAGGGGAAGGCTGTGTCAGAGATGGACCTTTCCTATTCTCCTTTCCCCCCAGCAGCCTCCTGTGAGCCCTGAAAGATGATTCTGGAGGATGGCAGACTATTGCAGACTAAAAACCAAGCAACACATTAAGAAGAAACAGGCAGATTATCTGCTCTTTGCCTGATATACTTGCCTGCTTTCCCCCTCCTTACCGTAGCCACCTGTGTTGCATGGCTTTTTATTCTGATAGATTCCCCAGAAGGGGTAGATGAGAAGAACCTGCTTCCAACGGAACCTTCCAATAGCACCTTCCAGCCACTCCAACCCGTAGTTTTATTTAAAACTGCTGAAGGACTATGTCGTTATTCTTGTGGCAGACTACTATATTTGTGTTGCTTGCCTATTTCTCTACAACAGCATGATTATTCTGTGAAATAAAACAGATCAGAAGTTTTGAAATGGCCCCAGCTATGAGCAAGTACCAGAGGAAAGTATTGTCACAGTATACCCAGCAGGTCATGTTGACCCAAGAATGTCTTGTGGAGAATCTGACAATCAACGCTTTTCTATAATTACCTAAATACAAATTGGAAAGCTTTATTTTAATCTTCTGCTTCTTAAAATCTTGACGATTCGCTTTCCTGCTGTGTGTCAAGTGTATGTCAGCTGCCTTATTAAACTCAACACCGGGGAGGAGGACTGCCTGGATTTGTGAACTATTAGGGTGGACACATACAACATTTTATAAAAAAAGAGCCAGTTTGACGTAGTGGTTAAGGGCGCGGACTCTAATCTGGGAGAACCGGGTTTGATTCTCCACTCCTCCACTTGCACCTGGCTGGATGACCTTGGCCAAGCCGTAGTTCTGATAAGAGCTGTTCTTGAAAACGAGCAGTTTCTGTCAGAGCTCTCTCAGCCCCACCTACCTCACAGGGTGTCTATTGTGGGGAGGGGGAGGAAAAGGAGTTTGTAAGCCGCTCTGAGACACCTTTGGGTTGTGAAGGGCGGGGTATAAATCCAATCTCTTCTTCTTCTTCTTTGGTATCTGCAGTGTTCTTTGTGAAATGACACTACATTAAAAAACCTGATAACTGGATTCTATTTATTCTTTAATATATTTATACCCCACATTTCTCCCCAGTAGAGACCCAAAGAAGCTTACAACATCAGTCTCTTTTTCTCCATTGCATCCTCACAACAACCCCATGAGGTAGGTTAGGCTGAGAGCGACTAGCCTATGGTTACCCAGTGAGCCTCCATGGCAGTGTGGGGATTCAGGCTTGGGTCTCCCAGATCCTTGTCTGACACTCTAAACCACTATACCACCCTGACTCTTTGCTGTGCCTTTTGTTTCGCAGTTGCCTAGTGTTTCACTGGTGTTTTGATTTTCTTTTAAAAATCTGCTGTTGCATACTCGCCACTTCCCTCAATGGTGAGAAGCTCAGAGGGAGGGTTGCAGAGTTTCATTTCCTTTGGATAAAGGGCCCTAAAGACGTACAGTATTTTTGCCTGACTCAGAAGAGCATTGTGTAAAATTCCTACAGTAGGTATCAGATTTCAAGACAGTAACTGTTACAGTCAACTGAAAGGTTGAGAACCACTGCACTAGAAGCTCTCCCACTGTTGCTGAAAAGTACTGGGTTCGCCGCATGGAGGACTCGGACAACGACATGCAGTTGCACATGTTTATTGAGTACTGAACACAAAACTGAACAACGGCCCTGCAAGGCCAACTATATACACTCCCGTCCCCGGGCCTCCCACTCCATTGAGGGTTTGAATTTCCCACCAAGAAGCCCATTGGGTGGCTAGGGGGGGAGACTAGGATCCGAGGTTCCTATTGTCCTGTGGAGCCAAGCTCCTCACTTTCTTGCAGGCGCCTTGTGGCGGCCCGCATACATAACAGTTGCCCCCCCCCCAAGCACCAAGAATACAGAGCATCACTTGCCCCAGACCGAGAGCTCCTATCTATACCTTATGACTAATAGCTCCTGATAGACCTCTGCTCCATACCAGGGCTCTACTGGTAAAAATGGAGGACAGGAAAACCATCTGAGCTGCCTTGTGTCCCATTGGGGGGGAAAGGCAGAGTATAAATGAAGGAAATAAGCAAACAATGAACAGTACAATAAGACTGGATTACAAAAATGAGAGAACACTGAAGTAAAGAGATAACACACGCAAAAGACTCCATACAACAAACTACAACCTCATAGGTGAGGCAGCCTTCAGGAAACTAAGGCAGGGCAAGATGTGGCCTAGAGGCTTCCAGCTGGCCATTCATGATTTGATTTGAAGTGTAGATTTTTTTTAAAAAATCAGGCCATATATAGAGAGATTCCCTGATTGTTTTTTTGAAAAAATTCTAAGAGAGGGGACGGAAATCCAAAGATTACAGTAAACCAACCTTTGATTCCCAGAAATAAAAATAGAATACTGGTAGCTATCTTTCTTCCATTTGGGGGCTTAAATGAACCAGGCATGTCTGTAGGGGGGGGGGTACTTTTAATCAGGGAAATGGCACCTGGGGAGAGTTAACTGCCTTCCATAGCACTGTGGTTCAGATCTGTGTCTTGCTTTGCTACATAGCTGCTTTTTGAAGATGAAATGCACATCAATCTCATGAAGTTTGACCCTCAGTCCTCACATTATGTCTAATTCAGGGAAATAATTCCCAGGACTAACAAAAATAATTTTTAATGCAGCAAATTCACCAGTTTCCAGATGTCCAGTGTGGATGGCACAGAAAGGCATATGTTGCACTTGCCTAAAATAGGCATTGATGAGTAGTACTAGAGAACATTTAGGATTTTTTAAAATATAGATTAGCAGAGAGCCAGCCCAAAAGAGATGGCTTTCTGGTTAGAGTCCATTGCAGTCTTGTTCAGGAGGAAAGGAAAAAAAGAAGATCTGACAGACAATATCCCCCAAAATTGTCTCTGAAGTATCTACAGAGTGTTTCTGAATATATATATTTAGAAAATCCTTTTACTAAGTTATTTTGATATGTTTTTCTTTCCAGCTTCCCCATCAATTTCAATACTGTGCATGGCAGCTGATGGTAAAGTTCCTGTGAGTATCTTTGCTTATCTTAGTATGTGTCTGTGTGTGTGCATGCGGGGTGGGGGGAATGATTCATATTGTACATTTGGGGGAATTATTGCAGATTATGTTGAAGGCATAAGGCCTTTGCTGTACATTTCTTATCTCCTTGGAAGACAATACGTTTTTCCAAAAACTAATAATGGATATTGAAATTGTTGCAAGAATTAGTTTATGAGGATTGTAAAGGATTCTTAATATTCTAGATGATGAGGTCAGTTTGACAGTCTGGAAGAAAACGCCGTGCAGCAGAGTAGTAAAAGTATTTACAGTTTATTTACACACTGGAGTATATTTACAGTCTCTCTGAGTCCAAAATCGTGGTACTCTCTGACAAGGTGCTGCGCAGGCAACTGATCCCATAGAAGAGATGAACAGCACTGTTCAGCACTACATTTATATTTACAACAACCAATCACATAATAGCTATTTACATAATTGCCAAGTCATGGTGCTTTGTGCAAAGGCTGATGCAACCTCCCTGCAATCACCATGTCATGTGACCTACTGGCTGTCAACTTAGATCATCTAGATCTAGCATTCACTGTCATCTGGCAGACTGACAGCTTGCAGTTATAGTTTTATATACTGACACAGTTTCTATGGGACTAGTAGTCCCATACAATGCACCTAAGGGGACAGACTGTATGTACACAACAGGTCCCTTTCTAGTCCCTGAATTCTATGGAATTGTCTGTATCACAATTCTACATATCAGTGACTTTTTACATTAACATCACTTCAGTCTAATGCAATGTATATTCCTTTTGCTGCATGTATACATGCTGCATATGTTTGTTGCCAGAGTAAATGCACCGTATGTGGGTGTTTTTTCTTTTTAACAACAGTTTTTATTTAGGATATAAACATACATGTTCAACATTTTACATTTTACATATCCCCCGTTACACCCTATCCCTCCTCCCTTTCCCCCTCCTTATCCATGGCCTCCCACAGTGCTTCAACCTCCTGCAAAATTATTCTTTCCCTCTGTTCTCAGTTATATCTACCCTTATAGTTCACTAGGTAACTTTCTTTATCTTATTTTTTTAAAAAACCTAAAATGAATTTCTGTAACTAGTAGTTACTAAAACAGAATAAAGTATCTTTTACTTCCCATATTATTCAGTTTTCTTCTTTCAAATCTTTCCAGTCATTATAAAAATCTTCTGCTTCCATATTATTCAGTTTTCTTGTCATTTTGTCCATCTCTACAGCAAACAGCAGTTTCTTAATCCAATCTTCTATTCTTGGTATTTCTTCTTGTTTCCAATATTGAGCATCGATCAATCTTGCTGTGGTCACCCCGTATGTGGGTTTTTTGTACATAGAAGTGATAGTAATCTGTAAACAAGAAAGTCCTAAATGAACAAGCTATAGGAGACTATTTGGATGAACCATCTGTCTGAGAATGTTACTAATTTAAGAAGGGAATCCATTAATTACGAATGCCTTGTAGTGTGGAGTGGTATATAGTCTTACCACAAGCCAGTCTAGTTTCGATACTTTGACTGAAGCTGACAATTATTTCAGTGGCATTAAATCTAAATATTTTGGCTAACCAGTTAATAACTTCCAGGGTTAAGCTACAGTCTCAGAGCTAATCTACAAATTCAGTAAAGTCATGTGGTGCAGCTGTCACATTTCTGAAAGCAAGTGGAGGTTCACATGTTTGAATTCTCCCTGTTGTAAAAACCTGGCATAAAAATGTAGCCCTTCTTCCTGATATGTTACACTTGCATGTGTAAGACGTTTTTGGCATGGGTGATCCACTAATTGCAGAGTCCACAGTTTGGGTCTGAGGTCCTTGTCAGATGTAACACAGTCACACATGAGTTTGTTTACTCCTCAGTTCCCATCCGTGGAATGCCTGATTCTTATCAGGGCCACAGTGCATGTAGAGAAGGGGCCTTTCCCAACATTACAACCCCCTGCCCCATGCCATTTCCCCAAATGGTTCCAAAGGGTTGCTCTTTGGCCTATTGGGGAAACCAACATGTATCCCAGGGAACAGATGAGTTTCCTTAAATAGAACCTCCACAGAGAAATGGTGCACAGGAACTATTGTCCTGATCTGAATTGGACATTTTATATGCAGAAATGGAGGAGAACCCACAACTCATGTGTTATTGTGTTACGTATGACACAGGGTAAGGACTCCAGACCCAATCTATGTATTTCTTAATAAGTCAATGAGAATCCAAACATATTATCCTTCAATGGTATCCTAAAATGGTACAATTCTATACAATATGGTTTTTTTTCTAATTGTGTAGATAAGATAGTTCATTTGCAGTCCTGAAAGAGGACTTAGTGTGATGATTTCTGGGGTAAAAAAGCTTTTTGTGATTTATTCTATATAAATTTTATCCTACAAAGGTACTTTTTGAGATAGTGGTCTCCTAGAATTTTTTTTTACAAAACTGAACTTGACTAAGGCAGCTTGTTCATTGATAATTTCACTACAGTGTGTTCTGTCTTTAAGTAGTTGGGTGCTTAACTTAATTGTGGGTTTGAACAAATTCCACATTGGATTGAAAGGCTATATAATTCAGATTTTCTCATCTTGACAAGGCATCCTAGCTCCATGTATTTATACAACTCTACTAGTGTATAGTGAAATTGGGTGACAAGAACCATTTCCTGCAGTCGTACTGCAACATTGGAACCCTATGGATGTCTTAAATTTATGGCAAAGCTGTAGGATGTTTACTCATTGTCATTTTATTGATGCAACAGCACTGCCCTTTCCACTTAGATTTTGGGACAGAGATGTCTCATTTCTCTCTTTTGCTCTGTCTAGAGCCCCAAGTCATGACTCAGTAAAACAGGAAGAATTCTCATTTAAACTAGTTTTGGGACTGATTTATGCAACTGACTTGGATCCTGTGACTCCTTCACAGGGCTATTTTTGGGCAGGAACGCACAGGAACGGAGTTCCGGCTGGCTTCAGAGTTGGCCACACCCACTACAGCCAAAACCTGCATACATGGCTACAGAGGGAAGGCCTGGAGAGCGACCCTCCCCCGCAACTCTGAGGTGGGTGGGCCAGGGGGGCCCTGGAAGGATCATTGAGGCATTTAAATGCCTCCCCATGCCTTCCCCGGCCTGTGCAAGGCCAGCTTGCCTAGGCTCCCCGCAGCCGCGGGGCGCCCGGGCAAGCCAAGGGAAGGCATGGGGTGTGGCGTAATATGCAAATCAGCGGTGCTGTCAAGGGCGTAACCTAATATGCTAATGAGTTTCTGCTGTTGGTGTGGCCTATTATGCTAATGAGTTCCTGCTGGGCTTTTTCTACAAAAAAGCCCTGCTCCTTCATAAGTAAGGATTTTTTGTTCCAGGGTATAACTCTGTTCCACTAAGCGAACAGCCTTGTGCTGAAGGAAAAGATTTCTGTCTCTGGTGCAAGACTCCTCATTTAGCATAAAGGACATGTACTCACTATATTTTGCAGGATGAAGCCAGCTCAGACAGACTTTTTTTTAAAAAATAGATCTTATATATTATTACACTTGCATCTCTTCTCTGAGTGGTGAGAGGTTCCAGTAACTAGTGCTTACCTGGTTCGGTTTCATGGGAGGAAAGAGCACTGGAGACTTATGGCTTTTAAAATAAGAATACAGGTAGTGCACAGATGGATGCAAAGATGCACTCCCTCAAGGCAACAGATCTGCTGTCCCATATCGGACATTCAAAGAGAGGGAGATCCTGCACCCAAAGTGCTTTTGGCCACTCCAGCCATGACTCTCCCTGTTTCTTTTCTCAATCTCCCTAGAAGTCTGTTCCCTAAAATCTCTCTCAAACATCTCCTTAACAAAGTACAGAAATTTTCCTTTTAGGGCTCTCAGACCCCTCCTATTCTTCCTCATGGGAAACTGCTAGCCAGATACCAAATGGACCCTAGTTTTTCACTGATTACTTGAAGATCAGGTCAAAGGTGGTGTCAGTGATTTTCTGTGGGTTGCCTCAGGCAGACTGGTAAATTGCTTCATCACAAGCCTGACAGACTGCAGTCTTTGGCCTGCTTAAAGGTAAAGGTAAAGGTTTCCCTTGCTCGAAAGCCAGTCGAATCCGACTCTAGGGTTGCGGTGCTCATCTCCGTTTCAAAGCCGAAGAGCCAGCGCTGTCCGAAGACGTTTCCGTGGTCATGTGGCCGGCATCACTAAACACCAAGGCGCACGGAACGCTGTTACCTTCCCACCGAAGTGGTACCTATTTATCTACTTGCAATTTCTTGCTTTCGAACTGCTAGGTTGGCAGGAGCTGGAACTAGAGACAGGAGCTCACTCCATCATGCGGCAACCCGGGTCTCGAACGGCTGAACTACTGACCTTCCACAGCCTGCAGTTCAGTGTCTTAACCACTTGAGCCACTGCAGATCTGCTTAAGAAGGTAGTTTTAGCTTCACTTCTAAGCATTCACAGAATGCCAATTAAACAAGAGTCCTGTCCATCACAATATGGCGAATTCATCTTCTAAGCAAATTTAATTTCCCATGTCTTTAGCTGCCTGCTTTCAAAGATACTCAGGTTGGGGGGAAGTTACAATGTCGAGATGTATTGGGCCAATCACAAGATTGGTTCAATGTGTTCAGGTGGTTGTGTGCATTCGGCCTGAGGGTGAGCATGTATGTTGTGATGTACAGGCATCACTTTAGTGTGAAAGGAGGAGGCAGCTGATATGTGGCTCTGGGTGTAAGAAAGAGTGAGGGAGAAATCGAATAAAAGACAGCTGTTGTGGAGGAATGAAAGACAGTCAGGAAGAGGTCCTGAGAGGAGGAAAGCCCCCCTCCACTGTTACAGTAGGTGCTGAACACATCAAAGCAGGTTCTGCTGCATACCTGCCTCCTCCCTGAAGCCTTTCTTTCTTTCTTTTTTAGGGGTGGTTTGCCCTCTTCTTTCGGCAGCACCTTCCCAGCTTGTTTGCTTGAGGTGTTTTCTTTTGGATTTTCCTTTCCTTTCATCCCTCTCAAAGAGCTGCACTAAGCAGTTTTAGCTTTATTGTATGTCCCCTACTGAAATAGGAGGTCAGGAAAGTGACTAACCATGTGGCACAGATTCCTTCCTCCGTGAGTGCAACATCAAACTCTGACTTACATTTGTGAAATACTGGTCATAGGCCAAGTACCACAGAAAGGGTATTCAGATCACCATGAAATTTTCAACTGGAGGCTGTTCAATATATTCAACAGTCATCAGGAGTAAAAGTCATTGACTGTTAAGAGTGGAAATATACCTTGGAGCTCATCTAGTCCAACCTCCTGCTCAGCACAGCAATAGGCATCTATAGCATTCCGAACATTTCTGCTTAAAGACCTCCACTGAAGAAGTATCTGAAGAAGTGAGCAGTGTGACTCACGAAAGCTCAAACCCTGCCACATATTTTGTTAGTCTTTAAGGTGCTACTGGACTCTTGTTCTTTTCTACTGCTACAGACAGACTAACATGGCTACTCATCTTGAGCTGTTCCACTGCTGAACGGCTCATACCATTAGGAAGTTTCCCCTAATATTTAGCAGAAATCTGCTTTCATCTAACTTCCACTCATCAGTTCTAGTCCTGCTATCTGGATCAAGAGAGAACAAATCTCCTTCATCTATAATCATCAAGCAACGTGACACTGATGATGTACATGTGTGTGTGACTTGGCCCTTTGTCTCCTTGACTACAGTGGAATTAAATTAGCTGGACTCTGAACTGGATGTAACTCTTCACCACCACCCCCTCCACCTGCTTCTCTGGCTCTTTACAAACTTGTTCTGTGGGGAGGGTCATAGCATGCTGCAAGTTTGCACCAGTGCCTAACAGGCGTATCTTTGTCCTTTGAGTACCAGTGGGCCTTTTGGATAGCTGGTGATGGGCAAGGAAACTTCAACATCAGCTTTTTGTTTTGCTTTAATTTAATATAATGAGCTGCCCATACGAAGCATAACGGTCTGTGGGTGTGAAACAGGAAGCTCGGGTGACAGAGGCATAACGCTGTTCCACTTGTAAAGTTCCACATGCATCGATTTTAATTAAAGCATTTTCTGCTTCACCTACTTGCTTTCCCATGAGCACTGGTGTGTGTGTGTGTGTGTGTTTGAAAGATTCCATTTGAGGCTGAGACAGCCCTGCCACCTCCTCCTCTTCCTCCTCCTCCAGAGCCCCCTCCCTTCTCTACCAATGTTGCAACACAATCTAAAATTTCCTCTTTTCTTTCCTTCCTGCATTTCTTGCAGATTCCCTTGCGTCAGAAGACGAGGAAGAAAAGTCAAGGTAATGAGGTCTTCCTTTTGTTCCTCTTTTTGTTCAGTGTGACATCTTGTCCATGAGAGGCAGAGGTTTTTGGAGCATTGTTCAGTGGGTCGTGGGCTCCTCTTCAAACCTGGTATAGTTTTGCATTGATTCAGAAGGGGAAAAGAAATGACGGCATGCTCTTCATGTGGACTAAGCTGCTTTGGTGTGTCAGTATTGGAGAGAGCTGGTATGTCTGAGAGGGAGAGACTGCTTCTTCTCCTTCTTAATTGATTAGAGACCTCTTTTGTGTATGACACTAAACAATAATTGAGTAACATAGTTGTTTCTGAAGGGTGCTTTTAAGTTTTACGTGAATGCATGGTAATTTGTGTTCACTGAAGCCTTAATGCTGTATACAGTTGCCTTAAGAAGAATCTTTGGTAATTGATTTGTAATCTGTATTTTTTAATACACCCATGTAGATTTCCTAAAAGCTTTGTTATAAGTGATTTTACTGCGCTGAATGCTCCTGGAAGAGATACGAGGGGTTATATTTTAAACTTATTACTAGTAGTCCCTCTCTCTGTACAAAAACATGTTTCCCCATGTCTTCAACTATACAGGAATTTGTGTAATGAGCCGCCGAAGGATCTCCTGTAAGGATTTGGGACTAGCTGATTTCCAGGGATGGCTTTACAAGAAAAAGGAAAAAGGAAGTTTTATTGGCAACAAATGGAAAAAGTTCTGGTGTGTGCTGAAGGGTTCATCGTTATACTGGTATAGCAATCAATTGGTAAGCAACGGAAACACCTCTGTTGGTTAGGGTTTTTAAAAAAAAGTGAAGAGAAGAGCTGGCTCCCCTGATCTTTGTTACAACATATAATGTAGCATTTAGAAGTCTGGTCTGTCGTTTGCTCTGTTTATATGTTTTTATTCTTGCATTTAAAAAATCATACCCATGCTGAGTTTTCATGAGAAGGTGAGCCTGCGTACAACCTGTATTTACTTCCTGGGATGGATTTTTGTGCCCATGGGTGCTCCCCTAGCTGCTCCTCAATATCCCTCCATCCTTCTCTGCTTGCTGTTTAGTGGGGGGTGGGAGCATGGGGTTTTTTTCCCCTTGCAGTCTTGCAGGAATGGTTCTTGCAGGAACCATTGTGGATTTCTCCCCAGTTCTCCTTGAATCTCCTATGGCTGCCAAAACCCGACATGAGCTCCCAAACAAGGATCTCTTTTGCCCCCCCTCTCATGCAGAAAAGCACATGGAAGATGCTTTATGAAAGCAAGGATGCTGCTTTTACACTACCCCCATCCCAGCAGCTTGCCTGGCTTTCCGATCCCCAGGGAGATCTGGGTCCCTGAAGGTACAGATACCAGCAATTTTGTACCTTCTTTCAGTGAGTATCAGTGAGATAGTATTGTAACATATTGTCAAAGCCCTAGTCAGCTTCTGGAACAGAGAGATGATGCAGGGAGTAGAGAGGATTGCTCCCAAATACCAGCATGCTAAAACCCAAGCATCTCTGTGGTATTTTGGCTAGTTGTGGATAATAAAGCAAAAGGGAAACATCTGCAGCAAAGTTGGTGCAAGACTCAGAATGAACATGAGCTGTAAAGGTAAAGGTTCCCTTGCTTGAAAGCCAGTTGAATCCGACTCTAGGGTTGCGGTGCTCATCTCCATTTCAAAGCCGAAGAGCCAGCGCTGTCTGAAGACATTTCCGTGGTCATGTGGCCGGCATGACTAAACACCAAGGTGCACGGAATGCTGTTACCTTCCCACTGAAGTGGTACCTATTTATCTACTTGCAATTTCTTGCTTTCGAACTGCTAGGTTGGCAGGAGCTGGAACTAGAGATGGGAGCTCACGCCATCATGCGGCACCCGGGTCTCGAATTTACCTTGCAGAGTTGGGAATAACCAAAATTATTGTTCTTCACCAGTACTGCATCTGTGTAGTACCACTGGGAAGATCTCTTCTGAGTGAGTAAAGAATACCCAAGACCCTCAGATGAGCAGGAGAACTCAATTGGCTGTCCTTTTTGATCTTTGTAGAATATAGATAATCACTTGCATCTATTCTGGCATGAACTATACACTGGTTATCACCTCCATGCCAGAAGCATAGTAAATAATACGTAGCTGAAGAAGACTAACTAGAAAATTCTAGGAAGTGGTTCCTCCTTCAGAGTGGGGCCGGATCCTGCTGTAGTAAAGGTTTTCTTAAAGAAACCTTCCTTGGACCAGTCCAGTTTGGGAAATGTTAGGCAACTCTTCATTTTTAGGGACAAAATGAGTATGCAGGTAGTAATGAACCCGCTCATGACATCCTTTGATGAAACTGCTTATCTGGAACCACTTCCTTCTACATTCAGATTTGGTTTGGGGACTGAAATGGCATTGTTGCCTTGGTGGATGACCTTTGCTGTGAGATGAGGGGGAGTGTGACTATGTCCATCCTCTTTTGCCTCTTAATATCTTTGGATCCATCAAACACAGTATTCTTCTGGATTATCTGTCAGAATCAGGAGTTAAGGGCACAACATTGTATTGTATCCATTTCCTTATGTACTGGAAGAAAGTGCTAAGAAAGTGCTAAGAAAATGCTCCTCTACTCTATGGGGATTATCCTGTGTGTCGTTCTTGTCTGCCATGCTATTTAGCAGCTCTATGAAGCTGTGGACAGTACTGTTCAGGAGATTTGAGAAGGCCTCTCCCTCACTGGCAGTCTTTAAGCAGCGCCTGGACAAACACTTGTCTGGGATACTCTGGGTTGATCCTGCATTGAGCAGGGGGTTGGACTAGATGGCCTGAATGGCCCCTTCCAACTCTGTGATTCTATGATTCTATGAATATGATGATAACCAGGCTTTCCCCATTTGCTATGATCAAGGTGTGGCAGTGGTCTCCCTGGACAGGTGTCTGAATCCAGTGGTGAGAGGAGAGCTAAAAATCTCAAACTGAATCCAGAAAAGATTAAGGATGTTGAGAATAAGTGATCCAGTTGATCTTGTAAAATGTGACTTTGTTGTGGATGGTACCACAAGTTTACACTGGGATATGCTCATGACCCCCAGCATTGCTCATGGATATCCCGGTCATTTCTAATCGTACTGTCTGGTTCTCCAGCTGCACCCAGTTCTGTGGAACCTAGCCACTATCATATATGCCTTAGTACTCTTGAGAGTCCCTTGGACTGCAAGAAGATCAAATCAGTCAATCCTAAAAGAAATCAACCCTGACTGTTCCCTGGAAGGCCAGATAATGAAACTGAAGCTCAAAGACTTTGGCCACCAAACGAGAAGGGAGCACTCACTGGAGAAGACCCTGATGCTGGGAAAGATTGAAGGTCAAAGAAGATGGGGACGGCAAAGGATGAGATGGTTAGACAGTGTCATAGATGCAACGAACATGAAGTTGAGCCAACTTCAGAGGACGGCGGAAGACAGGAAGGCCTGGCGTGATCTGGTCCATGGGGTCGCGAAGAGTTGGACTCGACTGTGCGACTGAACAACAACAAACTTTCCTGAATGGGCCATTACAAGGTACTTTACATGGAACTGCCCTTGAAGACTGTTTAGAAACTTTAGCTGGGTCAGAATTATTTATTTAGGCAGAAATGTTTATCCTGCTTCTCTCCCCCATGGGACCTAAAGCAGTTTACAAAGATACTAAAATACAGTTTAAGTAAAGTCACAGTTTAAACAGACAAAATGCTATTTAAATAAATAGAACCAGCCCCCACCCCCAGAAACTAATTACAGCCTCGGCTGGTCCTGGATGCATTGCACTGGCTCACTCAGGGCACAGTCTTCATCCTAAGAGCTTTTGACCATGCCCAGACTTATATATCTGCAACAGAAAAGGCAACAGAAGCTCAGCCTAGCTGGCAGAGATGTCTCCTGTCCCTTGGCTGCTGCAGCCCACTGTTTGCCTGTTGCAGGGATTGTATTTCTCCAGCACTGGGTGAGCTGCACTGTTTGCCATTTAGTTTGTGTTCACAATTTAGGGTGCTTCTTTTTGACTGCTTAAAACCTAAATAGTATGAATCTTGGGCGTCTCAATGAATCCCTGGTTGGCAGATCCACAAATAAATTGTCACTCCACAAGTTGTTCTTGCTACTAGTTGTTTCTGGTGTGTGTGTGGAAATACAGGTATAGATACTGTACTTGTGTTTCCCCCCATGGGGTCAATTGCAGCTTTGTGTGGTAATTTAGATTGAGGCAGCTGTGTGTGGGGAATGTTAAATATCTTCCCCCCACTGTTCCATTCAAATTTAGAGCCTTCGTGCCTGTTTTAAACTAAAAAACAAACAAACAGCACCCCACCCCCAAACCAAATAGTTGAGAGATTGTGGTGTAGATGTCCTGAACTACTTGTGTCTCCAGGCATGTTGGGAAGCTCTGGCTGGCTGCTGGCTGCTGGTCAGGGCCAGCTCACCCACTAGGCGAACGAGGCATTAGCCTAGGGAGCGAGCCGGCCTGAGGCGCCAAACAGGACCCGCCCCCCCACCAAAGCTCCCCAGCACCTGCCAAAAGCCTAGTGACGAAACCCTGCTTTCCGCCTCAGGCACGCCTCAGCGCCCCTCTGGCCCCACCAAAAGCCCCGCCGTGCTGCCCAGACGAAGGCCGGCTGCTTCGTTGGTCTGCCTCGTGCTGTCCCTCAGTGAAGAAGCCCTGCTTTACACCTTCCCGGCGGCCCGCCTCCCGTGCGCCTCAGCGCCCCTCTGGCCCCACCCCTGTAAAAAGCTCACATGCCGGCGGCGCGCCGCCCAGAAGAAGCCCTGCTTTTTGCCTTCCTGGTGGCTGCCTCGCGCACAGCCTCAGCGGCCCTCTGGCCCTGGCCCTGCCAAAAGCCCCAGCGTGCCCCCCGCTGCCCTGCGCCAGCACCATGCGTGCCCGTCGCCGACTCCACGCAACATTTGTTACCAAAGGACTGGGGGGGGGAAGAGGGGCTGGTGTTTAAATACACACACGCGCACACACACACTAAAAACCCTGCTCTCAAGTTGACTGCGCTGCACGATGTCCTGCCCCACCAGGCGCTTCACTCCCTGGATCCTCTCTCCCTCCCTGGCTCGCAAGCACATAGCTGGACCCGCCCGCCGGAAGAGGATCTCCCCCCAGAGCTTGTGAGATGGGAAAGGGTCTCCCTCCTCTTACCTCCCCTTCGCTCTTCGCTCCCAGACTGAGGGAAGGAGGAGGCGGCGGCTGGCCGGCCAGCGGGCGGGCGGGCAGGGGACGAAACCAAAGACCTTTTCGAGGAACCCTTCTGCCTCCCCCTCTCTTCCTCTCCTCCTCCTCGTCCTCACCCCCCGCCTCCCCTCTTCTCTGCACTCGTCCAGTCCCCCCCCCCAAACAAAAAAGGTTTTTCCCCCCTTTGTCTGCCTCTTTCACCTCCTGCATCCAGTTTCAAGCAGCCATGGTTGGTTAGGTGCCCGCATCATGGGGGGGACGAACAAAAATTTGGGATTAATATCACCCCTCCCCCTTAAAAATCAAACTTGGCATGGGGTCCTCGCCGCCCCCGTCGGTTTGCAGGGAGGAAGAGAGCAGCCACCCTCACTACCCAGCCCAGCCTGCGCTGCGGGATGAGGTGCCCCCAGTGCGCCACGAGGCAACTTCCCCTCCTTTCCCATGCTGGATCCAGCCAGGTACCCTTTCTCTTATGCAACGCTCCCTTCTGTGCACAAAAGGAGGTTTCCGTTCAAAATAAGGACTCCTTCCCTCCCTGAGTGTCTGTGGGTGGACTCCCTTTTTTTTTTTTATGCTTTAACCCAGTGCCCTGGACAAGCT